ATTTAATGTTTTATTCCTACAGTAACCATATTAACTATATGCTCACTGGCCATTTTGTTAGGAACACCTGTTCAACTGCCCGTTAATGCAAATATAGTGGGATCCAGCCCAGAAGTGCCTTTATTCTTTATGGCACAGGTTCAACGGAGTGCTGGAAACATTCCTCAGAGTTTTTGGTCACTTTGACACAATAAGATTATGCAGTTGCTCCAGATTTATCAGTTTTACACTCATAATGTGAATCTTCTGGTGCACAACATCCCAAAGGTGCTCTATTAGATTAAGATCTGGTGACTGTGGAGGCTGTTTTAGTGCACTATGTTCAGTATATTAGTTTGTGCTGGTTTGAGCTTTGCACCATGATCCACGATTTTCATGTTGTTTACGCCATATTCGGACCCTAGCATCCAAATGTCAGAGCAGACCAGACGATGTTTCTGTTAAACTTCTGCCTCACTTTAAGGTTCTTAGCTGACAGGACTTGTTTCTGGTGTGGTCTTCTGCTCCTGTGGCTGCTTTGCTGAGTTCGATTCTTCCTGGGCCCTTCTGTGTGTAGTTTGCATGTTGCATTTACATGCAAACCACATGCATTTTCTCCAGGCACTCAGGATTCCTCCCAAAGCCAAAAGACATACATTTTAGACAGTCTGATTGTAGATTGGCTGTAAAATGTTGGTGAGACATAGATAAACTGCTACAGATTTAATTGTAAGGTGAATATGGCTTATAGTGTAAACCATTGTGAGTGGTTAGTAAGACTCGAAACGTGCCATGTGAGTCAAAGAAAAGTACACTGAAGCTGTTCCTGTGGCATGTTTCGGCCCAATGTGATAGTAACACACACTGTATTGTTTTTTCTTTACTTTGTCAGTAGTTTTACCTTTTACTGATTTTTCTGTTTCAACATGTTTTGCCTAATATGAAAATATATAATTTGTATATATTCAAACGCCATTCTCATGCTGCAAGGGGATAACAGATAATAATTTCTTAGCACTTTCTCATCAGGCATATGTTGCCTAATGACTGCAAACTGGTGGAAGCCTCAGGCCTTTTTTCTTTGAAATTCTATTCAAATTTAACTCTGGGAAGCTGAGATGGGAAGCCACTCCCACTGTAGGCGTCACATTAGCTTCTTTCTTACTCCAAATTGAAAATATTGATTAATTTGCTACACCAACCCCCCACTGTCTCTATGGAGAAGCTTTACTGAGAGAGTAGGTGTGATTGATTAACTACTATACCTCACCCTATGGTGAGCATGCATAATAGTTTGGAAACACTTTTGGTTTTACAGCATTAAAAAACAAACATTTGGGCTCTTGGCTGTTAATTGGATATAGTGTATAAAATAGGTCAATATTTGTCAGCGTTTTACAGGCTAAACAATAGAGGAGTCAATGAAAAAAATAATGAGCAGATAAATCTTGCTGATGCAGATATCCCTAAACATAAGACTTCTGTATGTTTGCTTTACAGTGATCATAACTTTGAGTCCTCTTTTGTCCACCTTTACATTTTACAGTAGATCCCTGTCCATC